ACACACACACACACACACACACACACACACAATGAGAATGCTGGTTTTGAACTAACATTTAAATAATTTTCTGTCCAGAAACTGCTGCCAATAGATGAGCTTTTTCTTTTCCTCTCCTACCTGTCTACTGGATGTACCCAGAGGGAACTGGGCCATCGATTTAACATCCACAGAGCAACAGTCAGCCGCATTATTGTGACATGGGCCAACTTCCTGTACTGCTTATTGGGCTCAATTTGTGTGTGGATGTCTCCTGCAGCTGTGAGTTCCAGTCTTCCACAAGATTTTGATGGCCGCTACAGTGACACACAAGTTATCCTGGACTGTACAGAACTACGGTGTCAAACACCTTCATCCCTGCTCCTCCAGAGTGAAGTCTTCTCCACCTACAAATCCCACTGTACCTTTAAGGCCATGGTGGGCATGTCTCCTCACGGAGCCCTGACATTTGTGTCAGCACTGTTTGAGGGTTCCATGAGTGACAAGGAAGTGTTCCGTCAATCAGGGATTACATCACTCTTGACACTGGACATGGCCATCATGGTGGACAAGGGATTCTTGGTGGATGATCTCGTACCTGGGACTGTTCATCGTCCTGCCTTCCTCTCCAAGAGGGCCCAAATGTCAGAGGTCGACGTTTTGAAGACCCAGTCCATTGCCCGTTTGAGGGTGCATGTTGAGAGGTTAATAAGAAGAGTTAAAGAAAATAAACTCTTTGATTCCACTATCCCTCTCTCCATTGCAGGAAGCATAAACCAAATTTTTACAGTTGCCTGTCTCCTGTCAAATTACCAAAATGGACCTTTGGTCAGGAAATGGAGATATGAAGTTTGACAGAAAAGCTGATGGCACAGTCTTGAAGAAACAGAAAATGCTGTCATTTACTTACATTGACATTGTCTTACATTTGTAAATAGATATTCATGATGGAAATATTTTGAAACAAATTTGTACATTTGATTTGATCAAACTCCTAATTTAGACATTTCTGCAGGTAAACATAGAAAAAATATGTGTCTACTTTGTGTTTGATTGAATCCATCACATTAGTGTCTGCATAAATTCTTTGAATAAGAATATCTTCCTCAGCTGAGACAACAAAATCACACCAGTTCATCCCAGTTATTAGCATCTGCCCCTGAACCTGCCAATAGTAAGCATGAGTTTTTTTTAGTTCCAATTTGCCTGACTTCATTTGGAGATATGGACAGTCAACATAACTTTTCACATTTGGACACTTAATCTCAATCAGCCCGAACTGACATGGCTCAGAAGGATCAAAGATCAATCCGTCTGGAGATGCCCCTAGCCAAGGAGCATCAGGGTGAATCACAAATCCACAGGGATAGTGGTTGACTCTTTTAATTTGACAATATTCCCAGATAGCATCTGCCTCTAATTCAAGCCCTCTCTTCATAGCTGCAGTCTGATAGGTCCCTTGCAGCAGACGATTTGCCAGATCTTCCTCAGATTTATCTCGAACCTGGCAGATCTCCCTGAAGCGGGAGGCAGTCAACCTATGCCTCCTTAGCTGATGCCATTCAGGACATGTACTCTGTGCTCTGGTAGCACATTCAAATTTATTCACCATGTCCCAGGTGACCTCCATACTTTTAAGGTGTAGCTGTTGTGGTTCAGAACAAACAAACATGCTTTTTGATGGCTGTAGGTGGTAGTTCTTAAGAGGCAGAGATGGGCGGGGTGGTGCAGCATTGAAGGACATGTCTCTCTTTGCTGTTGCTGGCTGTTGGTAGGACAGAGGACTTCCAGCCTGAACTTTGCCAAGGGCAGAGTCAACAAGGGGAAATTCATGGCTGATTCCCATGCTGCAGATCATTGGTGCATCAGCTGCTGCAAAATCTTCATACACCTCGGAAACCTGGGAAAGTGAAAACAATTATTTCAATAAAATGTAAAATACATGTATATCAACTAATTTTAAGCCCTCAAAAATTCTACACTTCACAAAGAGACAGCACTTGAAAATAAAAGTATTCAATACACCAGTAAGTCTACAACTCTTTGTTAGTACATTGTAGCCTACTGTTAATTTCATTTTTATTTATCAGTAATTTAAATACAACTACTTACTCTAAGGACAGAAAGGTCCGGCAAATCCCCACTAAGGCCTTTGTAGAGTGTGCTCCTGTGTATATAAATAAGAAAAGAACATGAGTCAAAAATAGAATACCCACCTGCATTTCGTTCAGATATGAAACATAAAATAATAGTGTTTTTCAAGCCTGGTCCTCAAGGCACACTGTCCTGCATGTTTGAGATTTGTCCCTGCTTAAACACAGCTCATTTCAGTTGGTAACTGATTAACAACTGTATCAGCTGTGTTAAAGCAGGGAAATCTATAAAGCATGCAGAGCAGTGTGCCTTGAGGACCAGGGTTGAGAAACACTGTTGTAATACATCAGAATTTTTATTGATTTTTTTTTACCTTACACCCTCTGTTGTTGCTCCACTCTTCGGTTTAGCAGACAGCACAGTCATCTTGTCCACGGGGAGCCTTTTGTTTAAGTGTGGAAAACCTGTTTCTATAACGTGAGTATACACAAAAATGGTCGTGTTGCTAATAGCCTAACGTTAGCTGCAAACAGTTAGCAACATCACAACGATCAAACTAACGTTACTTACCCTCGTAGTTGTGCAGGTAACTTGAGATATACAATTTAAATCCCTTGTTACGTTTGCTTGTCGGAGCAGGGGACCAGGCATCAACAATACGATGAACATCGCTGATATTTATCTTGGGCAGCTCTTGTAAACATCTAGAAAACGCCATTTTCACCGAGACCGGGGATTAGACCGGAAACTGGAATGCCGACATCCGGTCAAAGGGGAAGTGATTCAGGACGCATGTGCACAGAGCCTATTGTCTTTGCGATCAACATATTGGGCACTCTGCTTTAAGCTTTTCAAGCCTTTACTTGGCGCCATCTTGTGGTCAAACATAGGAAGAGCAGTTTGAAACTAGGACCTGAAATGAACTGTTTCATGGTGATTGTTCAACACTGAGTTGACAGTTGTTGTTTATGATCATGTGACATTTCTGTCAGTTCTGGCTGTCATTGTGATGTGTTGAACATGTATACACTGTGTGTGAAACAGGTGTGGATCTTCAGGTTTTTATGTTTATAGAGTAAAAAAGAAACATTAAATATTCATATAGTAAAAGGGCACCAACATCTGCTGTTGTCACATTGTAAGCACATTAACACTGATTAATCATTTAGTAAGTTAAGATACAAACCCAAAGAGTAGTTAGTTACCCAAAATGTTCCTAAAAAGCTAAGATTATTATCTTCTTAAAAACCGTAACTAAACTTTTACAAACGCTGACAATGATCCAAAGATACAAACCTGATCTGTGGAGTTGAACACAATCTTCTCCACCAGTTGCTGCTTTCATCTGGTCCGCTGAGCTGCTGGTTGGAAGATCTCCATCTTCCACTTGGTGCTGATGAAGCTGAGAGGACGGAGGTTTCTCTTCATCATCCTCACTCTTCAGATGAACTGCATTGAAGGAGAATCTGGTGTCATCAGTCTCCTCCTTCACACTGAGCTGCTCCACATCCAGACTGATCCTCGGTTCCTCCTCTTCCTCCTTTATGTTGATGATCTCCGGGTCCTTCTGGTCCACACCAGAACTCCAGTCTTCAGGAGCTTCTTCAAAAGAAACACACAACTTCTGAACACATGCAACATGGAGCTGCAGATCAAAATAAGAGTGAAACACAGGAACAGAGCACAGTTAGCCTTGATGCTAATTAGCTGTCCTCTTACATTCAGGGGCAATGGCGTCAGCTTCTTTTGGTTGTTCAATGCTCCAAACTGATGGGACGAGTAACTTAAAATATGCTTAAAGTTAGAAAACACTCTCCATCATCCATCACTGATTCCAGCTGAGCAGTGGTTGTGTCCAAGCAACTCTCCCTTCCATTGTTTGCTAGTCGGTTGCCGTTTATGGCATCCAGCTGATCAAATAATTTCCAATTTTGTTGGTTCGATCAGCTCCTGCCATTAAGGTCTTTAATTGTGCTGTAATCGCATTTTAGTTTTTTTTTTAAACTTGTCCTAGCATTGCGTCGATGTTCGCTGGTAGCCGTGAGAAGCCATCAGCTCCGACACCTCTTTAAACACTTTTTCGCTCCATCTAGTTCGCTCTGAATTTTTTTAATCGGCCACCAAGCACAAAAACGCCTGAACTTCAGCATCAGACCACGGTGTTGTCATTACGGATTTTAAGATCTTCAAAATAGGTCCAGTCGCTCCTTCCAGTTATTATTACTATTGCAAATGGCGGATCGGTTTGTTGTGATAGTTGCTCTTGGCAACCAGTGACTCCACCCCCTAACCAATCAGTGACCGACAGTGTTCTGACGTCATGTTTTCAGGCCAGCATTGTACACTTGGAACCACAGCGAAGTACGTTGTGAAAAAGGGGCTGGTTCCACGAATCATTGCCAGTGGAAAAGCCTTGGAACCGTGCAGAGCCATGTCGAATCGTGCCATAGAGGCGATAGTGGAAAAGGGCCTGTGGTGACCAATGAGTCAGAAAAGGTCCGGTCTCAGATTGGTTAAACTGGATGTCAATCAAGTAACGAACTGCATAGTGAGGATGGATTGATAGGCTAATGAAAAAAATTGAATTAAAATATATATATTTTTAAAGTCTGACGTCTACTTTGCCATGCAATCTACTCAAATTGGTTTCGCGATCGACGTATTGGGCACCCTGCTTAAAATTTTTCACGTCTTTACTTGGCGCCGTCTTGTGGTCAAACATAGGAAGAGCAGTTTGAAACTAGGACCTGAAATGAACTGTTTCATGGTGATTGCTCAACACACCGAGTTGACAGTTGTTGTTGTTTATGATCATGTGACATTTCTGTCAGTTCTGGCTGTCATTGTGATGTGTTGAACATGTATACACTGTGTGTGAAACAGGTGTGAATCTTCAGGTTTTTATGTTAATAGAGTAAAAAAGAAACAATAAATATTCATATAGTAAAAGGGCACCAACATCTGCTGTTGTCACATTGTAAGCACATTAACACCGATTAATCATTTAGTAAGTTAAGATACAAACCCAAAGAACAGTTACCCAAAATGTTCCTAAAAAGCTAAGATTATTATCTTCTTAAAAACTGTAACTAAACTTTTACAAACACTGACAATGATCCAAAGATACAAACCTGATCTGTGGAGTTGAACACAATCTTCTCCACCCGTTGCTGCTTTCATCTGGTCAGCTGAGCTGCTGGTTGGAAGATCTCCATCTTCCACTTGGTGCTGATGAAGCTGAGAGGACGGAGGTTTCTCTTCATCATCCTCACTCTTCAAAGGATCTGCAGTGAAGGAGAACCTGGTGTCATCAGTCTCCTCCTTCACACTGAGCTGCTCCACATCCAGACTGATCCTCGGTTCCTCCTCTTCCTCCTTTATGTTGAGGGTCTCTGGGTCCTTCTGGTCCACACCAGAACTCCAGTCTTCAGGTGCTTCTTCTATAATCAGCACCATATGATGAACATCTGCAGGGAACAATGAAACACATGAACAAGGACAGTTATAACTTTATATTCACACAAACAACACTGGTGTTTTCACTGAGTTCACTGATCAGCTCAAAACAACATCTAATGCTGGACGTCAGAAAAATGTCTTGGAACTAAATTCATGACAGAAGTCCTTATGGCTGACTCCCAGAAGATGGTAAAGCTTAGAGACTTTAGTTGGTTCTTTTAAGGAACAATAAAAACCTGTTGCAAAAAAATCTTCCAAACTTGTTCCAGATTCTCATCCAGTGTTTCCCCGTCATTATCCAAGGAAGAAGAACCAAGAAATCTGATCAGATGTATCAGTTCAGCCTCACTGCACTGATGTAGAATTGATGTAAAAATTATTTATCTCTTGTCAAGAAACAGCAATGATCAAAACTTTACATACACTGACTGTTCGCAAGAATGTCAGTAAAGTTAATGTTTTAATTTTTAACTTTTTCAGGATGGAATTATTGTACTACATACAACTCTGATGATTTTTGAGAACAAGAATCGAGATCACAAGATTACATTTATTCTGGATTTCTCTACAGGGTCTAATGTATACAAGCTTTAAATACATACAGTTGGAACCAGAAGTTGACATACATCGTTAAAACAACAAAAAGACATTTCACTGTCTGACATTAAATCAGACTAAACCGTTCCTGTTTTAGGTCAGTTAGGATTTTCAAGTTTGTTTCAATTTGTAAACGTACACAGAGACAAACACCTTCATTTTACAAGACAAGTCCAATGTTCTGATAAATCTAATATTGAGCCATAATGAACATCTCGACATCTGGAGAATATAAACAGGAACCTTGTGCAAGCCTGAGAACACCATCCCAACTGTGAAGTTTGCTGCATCATGTTTTGCTGCAGGAAGTACTGGTGCACTTCACAAAATAGATGGTTTTACAAAGAAAGACCGTTATGTGGAAATATTGAAGCAACATTTCAGAAGCAAACGGGTCTATTAATGGACAAAGACTTTAAACATTCTGCCAAACTGGTTACAAAGTGGCTTAAGGACAACAAATCAATGTTTTGTAGAGGCCATCACAAAGCACTTAATCTGATTTAAAAACTGAGCAGAGCTGAAAAGGCGTGTGTGTGTGAGCAAGGCAGCCTACAAACCTGACTCAGTGCCACCAGTTTTGTCAGGAGGGATTAAAACAAAATGACAGTAAACTTTCACGACAAGGAAAAAAAAAATCAAACTGTTTGATCCAGTGAACAGTTTAAAGTCAGTGATGCCAAATGCAGAGAAAATAGATGGTTACTTGTAATGTAACATCACGCTGACTTCAAGAATTGTTAGTATCTAAAAAAATTTTTTTCAAACAACTCAATGTCTGAGCATTTAACAAATGGAAATCATTTTTAAAAATCTAACTGACCTTTGACAGGAAATATTTATTCAGTTAAAAAAAAAAAGGTCAGGTCTCAGTAAATATGTAGTTTTAACATTACACCCCCACTAAAATTCAGCTTAATGACTCTAAAGTAAATTGCACCTTGAGAACAGCCTTTTTGGATCCATCAACAAGGTTCTGGCTGGATTTTAAGATTAAAGTGAAAGTGCGCGAGCACATGATCCACACGGTCCTAACCATGTTAAGTCACTAAACTGCAGCTAGCGTCATCACACTGAATAAGATGAATGTATTTATATAAACCTGATATATGCAGACGATCTCTGGGGTCCAAAGCAGCATCCAGGATTTTGTTTTGTTGCATTTTTTCTTCATCTGGGCCCGTTTTGTCCAGAAACTCCATTCTTCACGTGCTGCTTCCAGTCGTTGTTTAGCTTGTCACATCTGTTGTCGTTGATCTAAAGTTTCCTTTAACAGTTACTGAGCCGAACTCAAGAAGCTGGATTTACTGGAAACGTTACAGAAAGTTTATAAATCGCTGAAAAGTAGAAACGATCCGTCTGAAGATAAAGCGGAAGCATAAAAAAGAAAAAAAAAAACAAAGACCAAGGAGCCGAATCGGTACTTGATTCGTTTAGTCTGAGTCACGTGATCAATTACGTCTGAAGGTCAGAGAGCACCAAAGCTACGTCACTGATTAGATATATTGTAAAATTTAAAGGCTAATTAAGTCTGGTCCTCTGGACATTCAAAAACTAAAATAAAGCAAATAATAATAAAAAAAAGTAGAAACATTGCATCTTTCATCCGAGAGACTTCCTCAGTCTGAGGTGCTGTATTCAGCTCAGTCTCTTAAATAGCACCTTCTCAGAGTGGATCAACCAGTTTTGCTGCTGACAACCAAAACCAGCTGCTCACATGCTCAAGAAGGACCATCAGCCTAACAATGGATCATTAGCACCTGATGGCTGTTTTCTATTCACAGGGGGTTGAGTGATACTAGCAATAACAGCATTGTAAGAGGGGGACAGTTGAACCCGGAGGTCTCCACCCCTGTTTAATGATGGACGGTTTCTTTTCACAAAGATGGCCTCCTTTACTCCTCTCTCAAACCATCTTCATTATTGAGCGTGCATCAGGATGTTAAAGATTTATTAAAAAAGGTTTATTATAAGATGTGTTTTGGGGACAAATTTACGTAAAAATATCACGAGAACCAGCCACGAAAAACCAGTCTGACCAGTTCATAAGCATTTCCAAAAATAGTATCCATATGTACAGGTGTTGAAGCCCCTCCTATTCTTCATGCCAATTGCCTTCATCCGATCTTTTATAAAAATATGGCCACATTTCTTTTCTATTAACTTTTTTCCGCATGAATGCATTAATACTCTTGTCTGTGAAGTTCTCCTTTTATCCTCCTTATGACAAATTTTTTTGTTCTAATTGCTCCCTCAGGTTTTTCCATCTCTGTTCTTCCAATTGCAGTGCCTGTTGATACATCCTCCTGGACCTGTTGACCCTCATCATTAGTTCCTGGCATGTCCCTGTTCTCTGAAGCTACATTTTCATCTTCTGATGCCATGGAGGATGAACCCTCATTCAGACTTGAGAAAATTTCCACTTTGTCCAAATTTGATCAGATAGTTTATTGGTGCAGATGTAATTAATAAACAGTATAAATAACAATACTTTATTCATTTGTTTTACATTTTACATATTTTATAATAAATTGTTTGGTAATTAATTTTTGTACAATTAACACTTATTTTGTCATCTTTTGTGATTTTAATTAGAAACAGCTTCATTTAAATTAACATTTTAATCAATGAATTACAATTTTACAATAGCTGTCAGGTTACAAGCACAATCAACTTGGTACAATTCAGGTACTCAGTTGCCATAAAAAAACAAAAAATAGAACAATTATATCTTCTACAGAAATGAAGATTCATCTCAGATCTAAGGTAAACTGGAGCAGAGCCCTGGACTGCTGGCATGGAGAAGGTAGAGCATTCTCATGCTAGCATGCAGAGAACATCAGAAATAGCTTTATAATAGGTGTTGTTACTCCTGGATAATTTTTTATTTTTTTTACATGTATAATGTTATTATAAAACACTGTTGACATGGCTATATTGATCATTTTATTGCATAGACAATTTTTCTAACAAATATGGTCTGTATTTATTTTTTTACACTTAATTTCTACAGGTAGTCTCATTGAGCCACGAGAACTCATTTTCAAGAGAGACCTGTTTAGGGAGCAGATGGTGGGAGTTAAGGGTCTTGTTCAGGGGCCCAGAGTGAGGTAAATAAGGGTGGAGGCAGGTGTGGGTGTTTCACCTTTTCCACCTACATTTTGATGTTGACGGTACCGGGAGTTGAACCTGCGACTTTCCGATCACAGGCCCATCTTCTAATCTCTGCTCCACCACTCCCCAAATATGGTCTGTAATATGTGTTGTATGATTAATGATAAATGTCCCTGCCGCATCTAAAAATGCTTTGATAAAATGCATAGTCAGTTAAGCAATCGGTTCGTTACTGCTCAATAATTACAGAAAGTTACTAGCCAAAGTAAGAAAAGTCGATTTTTGCCTTATGTCGCGCCAGTAGCTGCTCAAACTGACTGACAGCGGTGAAATGTTTGGAACTATTGAGAGCTGCAAGAACCAGGTGACTGCGTATCGGTTAGTTCAAAGAGTGTCACAACTCTCTCTCTATGGCACTGATTTCTACATGAAGACTGCTCTGTTCTCAAACACAACTGAACAACTTTTAAATAACAGGACACACAAATGGAACCCTCTATGAAAACTTTTGCTCTTATAACAATTATTTCAAATAAAAAAAAAATAGGTTGATTGCACTTATAGCCAAATCAACATAGAAATGTTTGAATAATAGACAAGGAAACATTTTACAGTACGCCTTATACAAACTGTTTTAAAAACACCCCAACATACTTTGTATTATTATTGGAAAGTAAATAAAGTTAAATGAAAACTTGTGAAATTACTCATTTTAAACCCACTATTATTTTCATTATGAATTATGTACATAAAAATAAAATGTTAAAAACTCACATCTGGAATCTCAGCTGCTTGAGTTATAGAGTTAAAAATGACACAATATCAGTATTATAATGTAAAAAATAAAATACACCAATGCTTTCCACAGTTAGTTTCAAGTCCCTCAGTTCATGACCTACTTGGTTTGCCACATTGGCACCTCTCATTGCTCTTCATTGACAATGATAATTAGGATCACATAGTTTTTCCACACGACTGACTTGAAATAAACAGGCAGGTCTTCAAGCTCCTCTGTTTCATCCTAACAAAATATTCATGTTTTACTTTGGTGTGGAGAGATTCAGATGGTACATTCTTCTACTTATCATAGCAGTTAAGAAAAATGCAGTTAAAAAAATTGACTGCCTCCTTCAAGAGAGGTGGTCGCATGTGACCAACATACTTTTCATTAGCATCTCTGTACCTGTCCCAAACACACAATCTGTGACTATCTGGTACAAATATATGTACCATTACACCTCTAACATAAATACATACATTACTAGTAAAAAAAAAATACAGTTACGAAAAGCAATTAATAATTTTTACAAAATACCTTAGAGCTACTCAGTTTTGAGTTTGAATGAACTCCTAAGTGTCTTTAGAAACTGTCTTAATATTTAGAACTGAACTGTTTTCTCCTCCTGTGTGGATTCTCATGTGTTGGTTCAAATGTGACTTGTATCCAAACTTTTGTCCACAAACATCACAAGCAAATGATTTCTGTCCAGTGTGGTTTCTCATGTGCATGTTTAAAGTTGACTTATCTCTAAACTTATGTCCACAAACATCACAAGGAAATGGTTTCTGTCCTGTGTGGATTCTCATGTGCATGTTTAAATGTGACTTTCGTCCAAACCTGTGCCCACAAACATCACAAGCAAATGGTTTCTGTCCTGTGTGGATTCTTATGTGTCTCTTTAACGTTGACTTATCTCTAAACTTATGTCCACAAACATCACAAGGAAATGGTTTTTGTCCTGTGTGGATTCTCATGTGCATGTTTAAACGTGACTTGACTCTAAAACTTTGTCCACAAACCTCACAGGCAAATGGTTTCTGTCCTGTGTGGATTCTCTCATGTATGTTTAAAGCGGACTTCTCTCTAAATTTATGTCCACAAACATCACAAGGAAATGGTTTCTGTCCTGTGTGGATTCTCATGTGTGTCTTTAAATGTGACTTTTGTCTAAACCTTTGTCCGCAAACATCACAAGCAAATGGTTTCTGTTCTGTGTGGATTCTCATGTGTGTGTTTACAGTTGACTTGTGTCCAAACCTTTGTCCACAAACATCACAAGCAAATGGTTTCTGTCCCGTGTGAATTAACATGTGTCTGTTTAGGTTTACTTTTCTGTTAAATCTTTTTCCACAGTCGTCACAATTAAATGGTTTCTGACTTGGATGGATATTTTTGTTTGAGCCTCCAGTTTTCTTCACTCTAAAACAATTCTTACTAACCAAAAAACTTGAGGACTTTATTCTTGAATGACCTGTCTTTTGTCTCTGAACAGACTCCTTGTGAAGAAATTGTTTTTCACACTCAGTGAAGTTGCAAGATTTGTTGACATTGTTTACACTTGACTCAGGAGCCCAGTCTTTGTCATGGTCTTCAGGTTCTGACCCAAAGTCTGATGAGTCTTTCAGCTGAGAATCAGGATCATTCACATCTTCATCATCATCCTCACTGTCTTCGGTCTCTGAAGAGCTGGAATCATCTTCATGAATATTTAGATCTGAGTTCCTGATAGTTCCTGCTCTTCCACAGTCCTCTCCAACAGTTGATGCTTTCATCTGGTCAGCTGAGCTGATGGTTGGAAGATCTTCATCTTCCACTTTGTGCTGATGAAGCTTCATATAGAGGGTCTCTGAGTCCTTCTGGTCCACATCAAACCTCCATTCTTCAGAACCTTCTTCTACAATCAGCATCATCTGCTGAGCATCTGCAGGGAACAATGAAACACATGAACATATCAACTCAAAACAACTTCTAATGATGGACGTCAGAAAAACCTCCTGAAACAAATTCAGTGACAGACATCTTGACTGACTATCAGAAGGTGAAAAAAGAAATGGATCAGACATGTCAAGGTAAAGACTAGCCATATCTCATGTAAAAAAGCCACCAGCAGGTGTACAGCATACCAGCAACTAAAACTACAAATCCCATAATGCACTGGACCAGCTTGTGCAGCGGAATGAGTCCAGCCTTTCAAGCATGCTTCCCCACCCTTATCTTGTATTTCTTTAATAGTTTTGTGATGAAATTTAAGATAAATACTCGAGATTGAGAAAAAATAATAATAAAAACGTAGGGGTGCAAAAAAAAAAACATTTTGATTTTTTTTTTTTAAATCTAGATTCTTAGTTCTGGCTATTCTGAATCAATTCTAAAGGCCCACAAATAGATTTTAAAATGTGTTTCAGTTTAATTTTTTATCGCTCCTACTCCGGAGCATACTGCATATCACATTACGTGTCCGCTCGGCCGCCGTAGAATTTGGCCATATAGGCCACCGTACAGCAAGCTATTTAGCCAGCTCCCTTTCCTGCTATCATGGAGTGGGAGGACAATGCAATTCAACCCACTCCTACGTTGTTAAAAATCATTTCAGATCCTACACTGTTCTGGGGAAAGACAGAACTGAACAAGAGCAGAGTTGTTTGCAAGAAGTGTAAAATAAAATTACAGTACAGTATTTTGGAAATACGAAAAAATGCGCGAAGATGAAAAGCGAAAGCAGCAGATCAACGAACGGAAACAACAAACTTACAGCTGATTCCCCAAACAGGACTGCGAAGATTTCCCACTCCATCGCTTGCTATATCACCAAGGATTTACAAGCAGACAGCTCAGTAGAAGGCGAGGGGTTTAGGTTTATTTTTAATATGCTGGATCCAATGTACGTTATTCCTCCACATAGCTTTTTTTAGCGATAAAGCTGTGCCACAACTAGGGGTTGAATAGACTATTCGACTAATGGATGCTGGAACATCTCGCAAGTTTTTATATTTCACGTCGACTAGTCGTGCCCCCCACCCCACTAATCTTTCCCACTTCCTGGTCTACAGTTTCTATGACCTCTACTCTTTTTTCTCTTTCATTCTCTTCATTAATTAGCTCATCAAAATACTCCTCCCAGCTTCCCATAACACTCTCCTCACTTGTTAGAACATTACCATTCCCATCTTTAAAAAGCCTAACCTGCTGCACATCCTTTCCAGTCTGATCCCTCCGTCTTGTTAATCGGTACAAGTCCTTCTTGCACTCTTTAGTGTCCAGCCTCCCATACAACTCATTATACGCCTTCTGCTTTGCTTTAGCTACCTCTCTCTTTGCTCTACATCCCATCTCCTTATATTCCTGTCTCCACTCTTAAGTCCTTTCACTGTCATATTTCTTCTTGACTAACCTCTTTCTTTGAACGGCGTCCTGCACTTCACTATTCCACTACCAGGTTTTCTTATCATCCATTCTCTGTCCAGATGACACACCAAGTACCTTCCTACCTGTCTCTCTAATGACTGTTGCTGTAGTAGTCCAATCATTTGGAAGCTCTTTCAATTCAAATTCAAAAATACTTTATTAATCTCAAAGGGAAATTAAGTGTTGTCGTAGCTCATCATCCTAGTTTCATTCAAGAGTTGTTAGATGCTGATAGCTGTGGGCAGGAAGGATCTCCTGCAGCGAATCTAGCCACAGATACTGATCCGTCCACCTGGATCCAGCTTGGTGTCAGATTCTGTGGGCCTCTCGGTCCTCCTCCTGGGCAGCAGGACTGCCTGAAAGCCAGGCAGAATTCCTCTATGAGCAATGGTCACTCCTCCCAGTGGTCTGCTGAGCTCCTCGTCGCCACGGGCCGACAGCTGAAGGTGCAGGAGGATGATCCCAGTCCTCCTGTTGTCACGAGCTGAGTTTCTCACCAGTTCCAGGATCTCGGCGGTCAGGTACTCGAGCACTGCCACAGATTGACGGGAATTCATCCACGGTGCCTACTTTTCAACTCATTTGGGATTTGGGGCTGTAGTTGAGAATATTTGAGCTTTGAAATCTTAATCAGATGCTCCTGGTTGTTTAAAAAAACACCTTGTTGCCAAGGTTACGCATCATAACAAACGCCCAAACATAAAAAGGTTTCAGTAAAAATCATTCTAGCTGCACAGCATCTGATACCAGAGGAAATAATCATCCCAAAAAATTGACTTACATCCAGAAAAAAAGAGAAATTAAAGTTTTCAAAAGCAATAACTCAGAATGAATGTAACAGAGCTACTCCAACATGCAGCCACACCGAGCGGTGCAATTCTAGAACCAAAACCTTGTGTGTAACCTTTCTTACCACCCAGAGCCTTTAACAGCTCCTCTCTGGATTTCTCACATTCTTCCTTCTTCATCTTCCACCATTTGGTCGTCTTCTACTCTGATTTTACTCTTTTTCTCTTCTTCACAACAGTCATTCTACACACAACCATATGATGCGATTTGGCCACAATTTCCCCTGCCACAACCTTACAGTCCCCAATCTCCCTCAGGTTTCCTCTACTACACAAAATGTAGTTGACCTGCATACTCCTTCCTCCACTTTTATAGGTCATTCTATGTTCCTTCCTCTTTTGGAAATAGGTGTTGACTACAGCCATTTCCATTCTCTTGGCAAAATCCACCACCATCAGTACTTCCTGGTTTCTTTCCTTGACACCAAACCTACCCATCACTTCCTCATCCCCTCTCTTTCCTTCACCATCATGTCCATTCAGGTCTGCTCTGATCAATACTCTCTTCTCCCTGGGAGTGCTCTCTCTTAATTCATCCAGATCCTTCCAAACTGTTATCTTTCTCCTCCACATCACATCCAACCTGTGGAGCATAACAACTGACAACATTTAGCATCAGACCTTCTACTTCTACCTTCAGACACATCACCCTATCTGACACTTTTTTCACCTCTATTACATTTATTGTCAACTCCTCCTTCAGGACCACCCCTACTCCATTTCTCTTCCTATCCACACCATGGTAAAACAGTTTGAACCCTGCTCCAATGCTGTGAGCCTTGCTGGCTTTCCACTTGGTCTCTTGGACACATAAAACACCTACCTTCCTTCTCTGCATCATGTCAGCCAGCTCTCTACCTTTGCCTGTCATTGTCCCCACATTTAGAGTTGGAACCCTCAGTCCTACATTCTTGACTTTCCTCTTTTCCTTTCGTCTCCTGACACGTTTCCCTCCTCATTTACAGACACTGACAATTAAAGTTTACAGACGATACAGCGGTAGATGGTTGCATCACAAACAATGATGAGTCCAGCTACAGGTAGGAGGTGGAACATCTGGAGAGCTGGTGCAGGAAGAACAACCTTCACATGAATGTGAAGAAGACGACAGAGATGGTCGTGGACTTCAGACGGAACATGCACCACACCTATGCGCCCCCCCCCCACACACACACACCGAACACAGGATAATCTGCAGTGGACATGGTCTCCAACTACAAGTACTTGGGTGTGCACCTGAACGACAACCTCAGCTGGAGTAATAACACCACCAGCCTGATCAAGAAAGCACTTCCTCAGGTGGCTGAGGCGAACTGGTCTGGGAAGCTCAGTCCTCACCTCCTTCTACAGGTGTGCAGTGGAGAGCATCCTGTGCTCCAGCACCAACGTGTGGCATGGAGGCTGCACAGCTGCAGAAAGAAAAGCTTTGCAGAGAGTGGTGAAGGCTGCACAGAAGACTGTTGGAGTCAGCCTCCCCACCATCAGACATTTACACCTCCAGATATAGGACGAGGGCCACCTGCATCATGAAGGACCCCACTCACCCAGCACACTCACTTTTTGCCCCGCTCCCCTCGGGCAGGAGGTTGAGGAGCATTAAGTGTAGAACCACTACACTGAGGAACAGCTTCTACCCTGAAGCTGTTAAGACTCATAAATCCCTAATCAGGATTATCACTGTGAAAACAATCATTGCAATACCGCTTGATTGTTGATATGAGCTGCTGATCTCATGCTGCTGATTTATTTCAAGTTGCTATGTTCATTCGTACTCATCTGCTCACACAGACTCATGTTCGTGCTGCTGTTGTTCAGCATATAGTTTTTTGTATTACTAGTGCTTAGTGTATTCTTAGTTTAGCATATTTGTTAGTTTATATCTTAGATCTTATTACTGTTTTTTCTTTACAATTTATACTTTTGTTTGATGTAACTGGGACCCTGTGTACACAATTTCGTTCCACCACATGTACCACATATGATGTGAATGACAAATAAAGAAACTTTTACTTTGACAGTGATCCCAAAACACAAACCTAAACTGCAGCGTTGAACACAATCTTCTCCACCAGTTGCTGCTTTCATCTGGTCAGCTGAGCTGCTGGTTGGAAGATCTCCATCTTCCACTTGGTGCTGATGAAGCTGAGAGAACAGAGGTTTCTCTTCATCATCCTCACTCTTCAAAGGAACTGCAGAGAAAGAAAACCTGATGACATCTAGGGGTGGGCAATATGGCTCAAATAGAATATATTTCAGAGCATTCTGACGAGAACTATAAATTTTGTGATATAACTAAAAAAAAAAAACCAACAGAAATCATAATTATTAATTTGACAAAATTAACTTAACATGTTGCTTTGCAGTATTATATAAAAACTAAATAAAACAACAAGGGTTAATTTTACTGAATTTACTTTATTTAGTAAAAGTATTCAGTCTCAACGTAGGAAAATAAAAATGATCCGTTATTTAGATTTAAAACATCTACACAAAATATAGCTCAACAAAATCCACCACAAAAACTAAAGTGCAGGTGCGGTTCCCCCCCCGAAAAAAAACTAAATAAAATGAAAGCCTAAGATACAATGAGCATAAATATAACCTAGAACAAAATATATGTTGCCTTTAAATGAGCTATAACATCCAAAACTTGAGACAAGGTGTCTTCATCTGACCCTGAACTTTTTGGTGGTGGTTCAGCTTCCTCTATTCCTGCAGGAATGATTTCATTTCGCTGACTGCTCTGTCTTTGATTACCTGCCTCTTTTCTTGGTCCACGAACTGACTGGAACCATGACTCAAGAGACACAGTGGAGTGGGGAGACACATCCATCTGTGCCTTTGTACTGGCAGTTAAAAGTGGGGGGTGGAGGGGGGACACAGCTGAGCTGCACGTTGTTTGTACCTGCAGTTTTTGAGCAGGGGGGGGGGGAGATTCAGCATGAGGGAAGAGGTAGTGCGAGTAATGCCTTTAGCTTTTTAGCTAGCTAGTATTACGCGCGGCTAGCTTAGCATTACACCAGTACCGACAGGTGAAGGGTTGTGCACAGTTCGGAAGCTCGTGCGCTCAGTTCTGTAAATTGGGCGGGGCGCCAAGCTTGTATAATGGTAGGGGAAACACTGACGTATTTACGCCATGAAATTAGCATATCATGATATAATTTATTTTCCTGGTCAAGTTTTTTTACCGGTATTATAGTGAACGATATGATATGACCCAGCTCTAGTGTCATCAGTCTCCTCCTTCACACCGAACTGCTCCACTTCCAGACTGATCCTCGGTTCCTCCTCTTCCTCCTTTATGTTGAGGGTCTCTGGGTCCTTCTGGTCCACACCAGAACTCCATTCTTCAGGAGCTTCTTCTTTAATCAGCACCGTGTGCTGAACATCTACAGGGAACACTGAAACACATGAACAATAAGGACAGTTGTAACTTTATATTCACACAAACATCACTGGTGTTATCACTGAGTTCACTGATCAGCTCAAAACAACATCTAATGCTGGACGTCAGAAAAATGTCATGAAACTAAATCCATAAGACAGAAGTCCTTATGACTGACTCTCAAAAGATGGTAAAACTTAGAAATTTTAGTTGGTTCTTTTAAGGAACAACAAAAACCTGTTGCAAAAAATCTTCCAAACTTATTCCAGATTCTCATCCAGTGTTTCCCCATCATTATCCAAGAAAGGAAGAAGAAGAACCAAGAAATATGATCAGATTGCCTCAGTTCAGCCTCCATGCACTGATGCAGAATTGATGTAAAAATGTATTTATCTTTTGTCAAGAAACAGTAATGACCAAAATTTTACATACACTGTTAACAAGAATGTCAATAAAGTTAAAGTTTTAATTTTTAACTTTTTCAGGATGGAATTATTGTATTACACTTATGTATGTGAATGTTTCTGTAAAGTGCCCTGAGACAACTTTGTTGTGATTTGGCGCTATATAAACAAACTGAATTGAAATATAATTGTACTACTTTTTTTTTCTTTGTTATTATTAGTTTCTTGAAAGCCAGTTGTATATTATAAATATTTTACATTATTTTGTTTATCTTAAATTGTTTAATAAGTGCTATTACATAAATGAGATGCATGACTGTTCAAATTAGTGTGAAATGATGATCTTTGTTTCATCAGTTATCTTATAATAAATATCAGGATGCTGAATATATTCAATATAAACAATTATGAAAATCTTTACAACTGTAAGTTATAAGAAAAAGTCTTTGTGGACTCTTTGGTATAGGTGTAGCATGTTTGTAGACCAAGTCGGGCGACACCATCGGGTCATTTAGTCACATAAACCCCAGGACTTTATATGAGCACAGTGGCAATTTAGTCTATAATTGGGGGGTGCTGAAGCACCCCTAAAATTTACCCAGCACCCATAAAAAATTAAGAAACCATCATTAGGATTTTGAAAGGAAACTCAGTTCTCAAACCTTAGATTCACCAAAATATTGAATAAATTTGGAATGAATGTGGAATAAATGATGACAATCTTAAACGGGCCAGGAAAATCTATAATGTTATTTGCAAGAGTTATTTGCCGTTTGGCTGGTGAAATCAGGATTGTCTACAAATTTGTGTGGATGTGTCGAAGCTCGGCAGCACTCAGACTGAACTATGTGCAGCTGTGTCAGAGAGCTGGTGCAGCTGTTATCAGGACTGTGGACTCTCTAGCAGCACACATGAAGGTTGGAATAATCTTGGAGAAGCTGTGAGCTCGACTTTCGACGTAAGGAATCAATTCGGCTGTTTGGAGTTTCCATCAGAGGAATATATACCAGCGAGACTTTAAAAGGCAGAAACAGCAATTCTCAAGTTCTGCCTGACTCAAAACTGTGGCCTTGACGTCGGACTTATCTCAACTCCTCCTGGCATGTTTAGAAAAAACAAAGATGCTTTGACTGTCTCCTCACCACTCCCTTCCCCAAGGCCGTGGACATGTGACAGAGCCTCAACCGAGCTGATGATGAACAACACCTCTTATCTGGACAATGGCTGAGAGGGGGGGCTCTGGACTATGCTAAGACTTCGCCTTAAAAATTCATTGTCTTCACCGGCCTATATGCGTATCACGTCTATTTATGTTGCTTTGCTGTGGTAGTTTTTCTTGATGCCTCAAATCGTGCCCCGTCTAGGACATGGCGTGAGATCTTTTTTTTTTAATACCGTCTCTCCTCAGGTTTTCTTTCCTTTTCTCATCTAAGCAAAATATTATTCTGAATAAGAATAAGAAGGCCGCACTTTTTTATAGTAGCAGCTTCGTGCACTCCGCCCATCTTTCGGACGACTGTACGTACATGTTCTCGTATCTCGGTGCAATGATAATAAAGCTTATTCTGATTCTGATATGTTGCAACTACTGGTTGCATAATTTTAGTCTTTGTTTATGATCAGTTAACCCTAAACGGATTTTGTACAAAGTGTTTTAGGTTGTGTATGCTTTACATGTATTTATACAGTATATATGCTGTTTTAATGACTGTTTATTGTTGTGTGTATCTCATCTGCGTTTTGTTTTTTTGTTTGTTTAAAACAGGTCTCTTGAAAATGAGTCCTCATGACTAATCTGTATAAATAAAGGCTGAATGAATGAATGCAATGTAAAGCGGAGTGCTACATCTCTACCATCTTAGCTAGCGCGACTGTATTGCGCTCCATTAGCTTAGCATTACTTCTTGTTGTGTCGTGCTCTCTAAAATAGTTATTGAATCAAGTATTTATATACGCTGTTAAACACAGATGTTTAAAAACCCATTAAAATACACCAGAATGCAGGAAATGGAATCTAATTTATTCATAATTTACTGGGGGATGACCCCCCCCCCACCACCAATGTGTCCCCTCCCCACACTTTAAAAATGCTTGTGACATCAATGGCCACTGCATTGTTCAAGCTAAGAGTCACTGTCAACACTGGGGGCTAAGCACCCCTAAAGGGCAGATTCTAGAATCGCTCCTGCATGAGGAATTCATATCCTTACAACATTCCTGCGTATACTTGAAAGAATATACAAGATAAACACAAAATAATCTGCTTCACTTGTCCGTCAGTTTTCCACAATGGTATCTTCCCCCCCAAACAAAAATAGCAGTTTGACGGGAGGATGACGTCACGCCGACTTAAAGAATTATCTAAAAAAAATGATCTCAATATCTGAACATTTAAAAAATGGAAATAATTTTTAAAATCTAACTGACTATTGACAGGAAATATTTATCCAGTTAAACAAAGTGCAGGTCTGTTTGTAAATGTCCCATGTTCAATGGTAGGACTGGCATTGGGATCGGTAAGTGGATTGAGGAGGCCCAGTCATGTATCCGGGCCCACCATTTGTCAGCAGCTGACCAGGCTTTCTTCTTTTTTGATCACCTAGAGGGGGAAGTGAGGGAGGAAATAAAGTATCGCACCAGTGTAGAAAGGAATGACCCAGCTAAAATCTTAGCTATTCAAAGAGAGTTGTTTGGCTGCTCTGAATCACATATAGCTCTGCAGTATGCATTTTTTGCTAGGAAGCAACAACAGGAGGAAACACCAGTACAGTTTTCTTTAGCTTTGATGGCCCTTATGGAACCAGTGAAGCAGAATGCTCCTGATGGGTTGCTTAACGCTGACATTCTGCTGCGTGATCAGTTTGTGGAACATGTGTTGGACAGTGTCCTCCGCCGGGAACTTAAACAGTATGTTCGGGGTCATCCTGCTTCCACCTTGTTGGAGGTGCGTAGCGAGGCAATCCGGTGAGAGAGGCAGGGGTTTCCAGTTGGCTTTAGGGAGTGCAGTTATTCTCTTCCATCCACATATGGGTTGCAGTATGGGGTGCACGACAGCTCTCGGCTAACTCCACCAGCCACTGCACGTTCTGAGTTTAGTGAGTTGAGGGAACTTCTAAAAACAGCAACAAGAACAGATGAATCAACTCACTCAGTGTGTTGTTGTTCCGGCGGCACGTCAGCTGTTTGGGTGACTGGCGTTCTTGATCCATTCTACTGTGATCCGTTATTGCTCCACCGGCGTTGCCGGCTGGGGTTGCGGTGCACGGCCTCCCCTTGTTGTCAGCTCCTCTGCTAGTCTGCTCCTTCCCCAGGAGGTCTGCGTTCTCATCTCTGGGCACACGATTGCCTGCATGGTGCATTTAAAGCAGCAGCGCTTTGGCGCCCTGCTGTCTTGTTTTGCCTGTATATGGTTACGCCGTTTCCATTTTACGCCAACTGCTGGGCAGCGACTTGGACTGGAGGTACATGCCTCTTTGAACCCTGATGTCGGAGGGTGGAGAATGGGACGTTGCCAGTTGTTCCAGTAATTGAACTGTTTTATTTGTTTGACGTTTGAAAAGCTCCTTGGAGCAGTTTTGTTGCGTGTTGTGTTCTTGACTGATGAAGCCGTCCGGACCGAAGGCGAAACGTTTCAGCACAAAAAAAACTGTCCAGATGACCCGACTGAAAAATGTTGGATTGTATACCTGGATTATTGAGCATGGACTTTGTTGTTCTCCTTGGAGTCCTTGCTGCTTTTATTGATGTCAAGTCTTTGCTGCTCAGTTTGTCACAAACACATTCGAACAGAGAAGTTCGACAGGACGACGAGTTTAAAGCAAGTTTAGTTTCCACAGTTTGAAAATATAAAAACAGCCTTTAACGTGTCAGAAATGCAGCTGGTCTTCTTCGCTCTTCAATTCTGAACAAAACCTCTTTATTGTTATTGATGTGACATTTTGAAACTGAAGCATTTTAAATAAGTTTGATCAGTTGCTTTATTAATTTGTTTTGTGTATTGCATGTTTTTTCTTCCTTCTTTTTGGATAATTGGCTTCTTTTTTTCCTCTTACAGAAACAGTCGCATGTATGAAGCCTGGTTTTAATGATTGTTTTAATGGATTAATAAAGGATATTACTTGTATAGAATACAGTCTGTATTCAAGTGGGCCTCAATTAGTCAGGTAAAAAAAAAAAAAAGGTGGTGCGACAGAACACGATCCTCTAAAACTTTAGTCGATGCTAAGTCACTTAGCTACAAAAACTGCAGCTAACATGATCACACTGAATAAGATAAATGTATTTATACAAACCTAATGTGTGCAGACGAGCTCTGGGGTTCCAAACAGCATCCAGGATTTTGTTTTCTTGCATTTTTTCTTTTAAACGCGACCGTTCCTCTTCATGATCTGGGCCTGTTTTGTCCAGAAACTCCGACATTTATTCGGCTGCTGCTTCCAGTCGTTGTTTAGCCTGATGTCTTCACATCTGCTAGCTTTCGTTGATCTGAAGTTTCATTTAACAGTTACTGAGCCGAAATCAAGACGGTGGATTTACTGTAAACGTTAGCGAAACTGTATAAACCGCTGAAAAGTAGGGACGATCCATCTATCTGAAAGCAGAGCTAAAGGCTCATGTAAATAAAATAATAAAAAAACCGAACGAGCGTTGAGTCGGAGCTTGATTCATTTAGTCTGAGTCACGTGATCAAACATCATATAAACACTAGATCCCGCATTGGCTGCTGCGGCGCAAATTTTCGGCCGCCATCTTGGAGCGGTCGTCCTTATTTGGTTAAAGCAGAAGATGTCTCAGCACTTGGCAGCTTATTTCTGTTATAATCGAAGGACTGTTGACGTCAGGTCTCGAGGGATAACTTTTCACAAGTAAGATGAACATATTATTGTTAGTATTTTGTGAATATAATATTACTGTACTGTATTTATGTCCAGCAGCTGATGATATGTTCAGTGTAACAGGTGTTCAGCTGCAATGAAGCTGACTGAGATCTGATGACAGGAATATTTTTCTAACAAGCATACTCACAATTTCAGTAGCTTTGATTCATTATCAACAGATATGCATCAGAATTGGAGTTTTGTTTAAGTTCTAGGATATTAAAAAATAAAACTAGGGAGAATATAGGAAATAGAAAATAAGATTGACCTCCTTTGTACAATGTTTTTGTGTAGAAACAAATCTCCTGTTTTCATTTTGAAGGTTTCCCAAAGAACAAGATGTGAGGAAGAGGAGGAAGTATCTTTGAGGAGGATTCATCTGAGCAGTGAGGATTTGAAACTGGAGGATTTTGATCTAACTGATCAGATTGTCCCACTGAGAGATGGTGTGGTACCATCGGTTCACCTTCAAAGAGTAGGAGCATCATTATAAGTTCATTAATGTTCATAAAGTTACATATTTTATTGTCAGTCACAAGGTGAGACACCTCCATGTGTTTATATGAACAGGTAACTATAGACTGTAAAGTTCATATTCATGATGCTTTTTCATTTCAGCTTGAAAACTGCAGGACTACAGGAACTCAACAAAAGCTGAAGTGATCTGTCTGTCACCTCTCAGGAACGTGCACATCACACACACACTCTCAGGAACGTGCATGTCACACCCACAACCATGACCTCATGATGTGAGCATTTCTATTTTAAACTTTTATTTTTTAATTTACTCTTTATTTATCCAGGTAGTTTCATTTAGTCACGAGAACTCATTTTCTAGAGAGACCTGTTTAGGAGCAGATGGTGGGGGTTGAGTGCCTTGCTCAGGGGCCCAGAGTGGGGCGAATGAGGGTGGAGGCAGGTGTGGGTGTTTCACCTTTTCCACCACATTTTGATGTTGACAATACCGGGAGTTGAACCTGCAACTTTCCAATCACAGGCCCATCTTCTAACCTCTGCACCACCACTCCCCCACATAACATCATATCATAATGGTCATTAAAATCTCACTGGTTTTCTTCCAGATGTGTTAAACAGCTGCTGGTCCCCCTGATGTTTACAGGTGGATGAAAAGCCTGGCATGAACAAGATGATGCTGGAGATCATCATTTGACGAAAGCTACCACCTTCTAACTGTGAAGAACAAGAGCAGCTCAGTGATTCCCTCAAGGCTCAGTGAAGGTGCTGAGAGCTGCAGAGAGGCTGATTCATGGAGCTTCAACACAGAAACCTCCAAACATGTCCACCCTCACACACATCGTCCATGAAGAAATTGGAACCGAGCAGGCAGCACAAGATAATAAGACAGTGATAACGACAACAATACACATTCACAAATTATTCATACAAATTTAATTTTTTTGTTTGTTTGTTTTAGAATTGAAAAACAGTTTGTTATCCACTGTTGTCATCACTCTTTGTTAAGATCCAGG